AGCGTGAAGCATGTGAAATAAAAAAAGGGGGGTGCGGAATAAAAAAAAAAGGGACGCTATGGGATGTGAGGGGTTGGGAACACTTTTTGTGACGTTATGTTCCTTACATACGAATATATGTTCCATATTTCGCGTTCTTACATACTGCAAACCTCGTTGCTGAGAACATCTATACTTCAATTGATGATAATGGTTTCACCTACACACTCATGGATGAAATTATCGATCATGAAAAGGATGTTAATGTGGCTCTTTCAAATGAAGATGCTAGATTTCAGACAGCAAGTAACCAGTGGAGGGACAAGCCTACAACTAAGGGCTGGCGTGTCCTTGTGAGCTGGAAGGATGGGACCTCATCCTGGGTGAAAATGTCTGATATGAAAGAGAGCTTTCCTATTCAGCTGGCGGAATATGCAATCGCTAATGGCATTGCAGATGAAGCTGCTTTCAGATGGTGGGTTCACAAGGTGATCCGGAGRGCTAAAAGGATTATCAAGGCAGTCAAGAGCAACAAATATTGGCTGCGCACTCACAAATATGGAGTTGAACTTCCACATTCTATTAAGGAAGCAATTGCAATTGATAAGAAGACTGGGACYGACTATTGGGCCAAAGCTGTTTGCAAGGAAATGACTAATAACATGGTTGCATTTCAGTTCAACGAGAAAGACCAAGTACCGGTCGGTCATGAGAAAATCACTGCTCATATGGTGTTTGACATAAAACTCGGAACCCTTACAAGGAAGGCCAGACTATGTGGTGATGGTCATAAAGTTCCGGCTTTGTCACAAGAATACACCTACTCAAGTGTGCCCAGTTGTGATTCTGTTAGGATCTTCTTCCCGCTCGCGGCCCTGAACGATTTGGATGTACTGTCTGCTGATATCCAGAACGCTTATCTGACAGCCCMAATAAAGGAGAAATACTACATGATTGCTACTGCTGAGTGTGGTTTCTCAGAGGAATATGTCGGGCGACCGTGTAAGATTGTCAGGGCGTTATATGGTTTACCTGTGGCAGGTGCATCATTCAGAGCATATCTTACAAGTCATTTGAGGGAGCTTGGTTATATTTCATGTAAATCTGACCCTGATGTGCACATGCGAAAAGAGGTGAGACCTGATGGTACTTCATACTGGGCCTACTTGATTGCGTATGTAGATGACATCTTGTGCTGTGGTATGAAGCCAAGACTGATGTTAGAATCAATTGAAAAGAGGTTCACATTGAAAGATGGAACTATTGAAGAGCCTACCTTATATCTTGGTGCTGATATCAGTCGACACCACATTCCTGGTCTTAACATCAAGAGATGGGCTATGTCAGCTGAAAAATAAACTGAAAAGGCAATTCAAGCTGTGGATGCAACGGACGTACGTACCGATGAATCGTTACGTACGATACGAAGCTTACAAGAAARKAATGAAGGAGCATACCATTCCTACGTACCTATCGTAAGGTACTGTTTATAGGTATGGATCATACGATCTATCATGTTGATGATCGTAAGAGGTCTAAAGATACTATTCGAGAATACCTCACGAAGAATAGAGATGTCACGAGTCCGGAATAGAGAACCTCCACGTAGGATCCCTACCAGTTCTACATGAGGTTCTGATCGGAACTTCAGAATTCTCGTGAACGCGCTTGGTAATCTTCGAATAATTCTAATCTTATAATT